TTTTACCATTTTTGAAATTACGTAAGTATTTTACTTTATGTGAAATGGATGAAAGCAACTATTATAATATGATCAGCGCCAAATGCCGTCTCTGTAAGAAGATAATATCAACTTCCAAAATATCATCCTCGAACTTAAAGAGACATTTACAAATAATTCTTTTAAATTTTTTTTATTTGATAATCTTAATGTCAACATGTTTAAATTTAATTTATTACATTCCTGAGTTGAGCAGGTCCTACAAATAGAATCTAGATACAGATTCTTTATAAAAAAATATTTTTTTATGCAAATATTTATATTATCAGATATCTGCAATATATATTAAAAAATTGCAAAGATCTGGCAAATTTAGTAAAATATTTTTAACAGGCCAGTTCTATTAAACCTCTGATATCTAGTAAAATATTAATGGGCCTTTGAAGACATTAAAAATTTATTAGATTATTTGAATTTTAAGCTAATATTTTGATTAATATTCTTTGTAAATAAATTACAATGTTAATTTCTTTGTATATTAAGTATTAAGTTTACATTTAATCAATATTTATGATATGACCCAAATATAAATAAATACCATACAGATGATGTGCCAGACTTGACTGTAAAATTTAAAAGGGTTAAGTTTTGCAGATACTTGATTTGATTTATATGAATAAAATGAACACTTATTTAATAATAAATTAATTATCATTTCATAATATAGATTTCCTTCATTGTATAAAGACAGTAACATATTGGCAGCCATGATTCACCCTAAATTTAAACTTAATTGGCCTTATATTAATCTGCCACAAAATATGATGGTAAAAGAAAGATTAGTTGCCCATTTGGAAAATATGCAGGAACAACCATATGCGGATACCTCAAATGAATGTATGGATGACATTGATGCTTTTTTGGGAAAAATACTGTACAAAATGCTTGTTCCGTTAAAAAATTTTTTAATTAAATGATGATTCCAGGAATATTTTTAATACTTATATTAATTATAAAAAAATATTTATTGAATATAATACACCTTTGCCATCAAGCGCTCCTGTGGAGCTCTTGTTTAGTAAAGCTAAACATGTTCTAAATGAAAGAAGCAGATGTTTAAATGATGATAATTTAGAAAAAATTTTATTATTAAAAGCTAATTTTAATTATAAATAAATATATTATAATTGATATATTTATTATTCAATTACAATAAATTTCTACCATATTTAATTTATTTTTATATTAGTTAATTTTGCATCGGTTATATTATATTATTATTCAATTACAATAAATTTATAACATATATTAGTTAATTTTGCATCGGTCATAAATTTCCTTCAGAAATTTAAATAGAAAAAAAGGTCGATCCTGGATTTCGATCCTCTTTTTTTGAAAATATCGTGATTCGATCGTTTTAAAAAGATCGGTTAACAAGCCTGTACAAATGGCACGTGAAGCTATTTTACCTTCTCCTTTAACACTAAATCCTAATTGATACATATACTTAATAAGATAAGACCCTAGGTTTTGACCTGTGGTAATTATTTTTGCTAATAATCTTATAAATAGCTCATTGCAATGGGGTGGATACCACTACAGTGTTTGTGAGTAATCAGGTTTGCCCCCCCCCAAATTGTTTCGAATTTATGATAGCAGGTATTTTTTTAAAGAGTATTATTTAGAAAGGTTTTAAAAGCATTTAAATGATTCTTTGAGATAAATGTAGATTTTATACGAAGTGAGAGGGCAAAAACCATTGTGTGAATGTGGAAAATTTGTTAAATGAATTGATAAATATAATAATTCACAAATCATATTTTTTATAATATATTTGGCCTTTTCTCTAATTTATAGAAATCTTGAAAGAATGAATACAGATAATCTATTCCTCTCATTTGAGTATTCTGATTCATCCATCGTCAAATGAAGGTAAAATTTATTATTTCTCCATAAGGAGAAAATTCTGATTCCCCGTCATTCTTAACGGTTTATCAGCAAGTAATATATAATACTCCTTTCGGTGAATTGTTTATGTGTCGAAGTTATAATACTTGTTAAAGATTATGCTCACGAGCATGATAAAGAATATGAGAAGATTTTCTCGGTCTCATTATTTTATCCGCACTATAAAACACTACATTATACTCTGGCAACGACCTTCTCTTATAGCCAAGAAAATGGTAATTGTTGTATTAAAAATCTTTCATGATCTCGATATTCCTTTAATAATTATTTTATCATAAAAACTTGATCAGCCAATGGGACGATTGTAATTTTGGCACAGTGTTAAAAATTACAGAAACGCAAAGGCACTAATAAATAATTAAAATAAGAAAAATGGCTCAGGAAGATTCCTCTTCCCAGAACCTGGAACGTTTCGAAAAATAATACGAAAACTTGAATTCAATTTGTTACATTATTATTTGTTTAGTTTAAATGTGATTAAGATTATAAATTTTTAAATCCAATTTACTTTAAAAGAAAATAATTTCAATGCACAATTTTTGTTATCAAATGCAAGCTAATGTTAAAAAATATTAAATACCCGCATTTTTCTGTCTTTTTTAAAAAAAATATTTTTATATTTCTTTTTATATAACTTTTATTTTAAAAAAATTTAAGGCAATTACATTAATTTTAGGGATAAATAAACCAGATTCATTTTTTTTTAAATCCTTTGTTAAAAATATTTTAATCCTCGAAGTAATGTGTATATTTCTTTTATTCGCTTGTACTTAATCGTTATCCTTGCTTTCAGGCATGCATTTTTTTATAGAAAAATTAATTTCCTGTAAAACAAATTCTATAAAATTCCTCGCAATGATGAGAAGTTTACAACTCAATGGATTTTCAACTAAATTTTTTTAATTGGGTGAAAAATAAAATTAAGTAAATATTTAAAATAAGGTGTAGGATTAAAGGTTAAAGAGATATGAGGTTAGGGTTACGAATATAAATGGTTTTTTATATAAATTTAATCAATTTATAGCCTGTCAAATCTGACAGGTCGGGTGAGTGTAAATAGACTAATAGAAAATTAAATAATTCAGCTGTTATAACGGCAACTTTCTTGAATTGGAGCATAATTACGTAAAATATGGAGAGAAAAAAAATTATGTTAGAACGAGGGAGGGGGAATAAAATTTTCAAACCCATTTAATAATATTTTTATCAAGACACGCCAATAAAAAAAAACCACCCATTTTCAGGATGGTAATTTAATTATTTAAAAATAGACAGTAAATTAATTTCTCGAATATAATTTTTTATTTATTTAAGGTATAGGACCTGGTTAGACATGACATTACGCGAATGGCGAGATATAACATTTTTTTCAATGTATAAATAAAATAAGTTTGTGAAATAATTAATCAATAGATTATGATAGATGGGAAACAAATTTTATCGATTGTAATATACAGTAAACCCTCAAAATTTGACCTCTTAGGGTCGGTCTCTTCCTGTCAAAATCCTATCAAAATATTCTAAATACTTGTGATCTCTCTGTTATGACCAAAAATTAACCACAGTTTAATGCAAGTTCATGTGGGTTATTATTAATATAAATATATACTATATTACTTCAGAAATAATAAAAAAAATGACTGGAATCTCGAACTCGATAACATATTTGAGAAATAAATAAATTTGAAAAAAGGTAAATATATAGCTTCGAAAATATGAAGAAATAATTCAAATAGATATTGAAAAACATAGTCATCAACCTAAAATTTGATCAAAATAGCTAGCTAAAAATTAATTAATCTTGCGGGAAAATCTGGAGAACATTAGTAACCAATACTCCCCATATACAGTTTCTTTTATTTCCTCTTTCCTTGAAAAGATTTCATTTATAAATAAATAATATACTTTTGTTGATATAATGGTCAACTGTACTTTATCAAGCTGGTCTGGTAACACATCCGGTAGTTAATTTATTCATTTTCTAATTTACAAAATTAATGGTAATTTTCGAGCAATGACAGCAGTAGTGTATCAACTTTCATTTATTAGTTAATAATTATAGATAAATTGTGTCATGAATAATTAGAAGCTTATCAAAGCATATTTAATCTTGTGACAAATAAATATGCACTAGTTATCAGGATAGGCTCAAGATCTCTTCCTTACAATGATCAAAGATGAGAGGTATTAGTTGATTCTAAAACTATTCCCTCATTCCATTGTCTTCAATAGGTGCAAATATATCAGAGATTCAGTAAGATTATTCAAAAATTATAATTTAAACTTAATGCCAATGTTCCTTCCAACTTCAAGACACTCCAGTTATAAATAATTGAAAGCCTAATGGACATTTTCGTAGTTTTTTTGCAAAATATATTAAATTTTTTTATAATTTATGGTAAAAAATATACTGATATTTACTTTTTTAAAAATATTTTTATTACTTTTTGGTTATATCTTCTAAGAAACAAAAATTTTATTATAATTTTATATTTCTGGCTGGTCATTTTACAAAAAAAAAATACAAACTTGCCACACAAAAGATGAAAAGAAAATCTCAGATTCATAATTTTTATTATATTATTTCAAAAAATAAATAATGAATTTAATGATTAATATATTGCTAATACATACTTATTTTTTTAATGGTCCATCAGTCAGTAACATAGTCAGTAGAGATGGTGATTATAAAAAGTAAATCAGGGTTTCATGGTGAGAGACTGATATATTTTTTTTAAAATAATGAGATATACCACAAACTACAGTGATCAAATTTCCATAAAATCTACCAGAATTTTAAAATATTTACAAATATGTCCCAAAATCTACCACATTTATATTCAAAAATTTTAAATATGAATATATAAAAGAAATATAAACAAAAAAGTTTCTAATCTGTTGTATTTGGGAGGATCACAGAATAGAAAACAGATTAAAAAATATTTTTGCAGATAGTTATCAATAAAAAATTGTTATTAACCTCAAAAATATGTAACTATGCTTAATTTTTTTGGATATATTACTATGAAAAAAATTAATCATTTTATTTTTACCTTATCAACTTTTTTATCGCCTTTCTCCAATATTACCAAAGCTTCCTTCAAATTCCTGACCAATTCCAAAGGACTTTTGTGTGATTTACCAAACAAGGGCATCTTTGATATTTTAATTTGATTTTTTTTTAGAATAAGATAGGGGGAGGGTTAAAATGCAGTTATTTGCTTGAAATCGATTTCCCAAAACAACTTTCGAATTTGTAAACTAAGTTTGGAAAAATATATATATAATTTAATTATAATATTATATAATAAATACAGTGATATTATTCTTTTACAAGTTACTTATATTATTTCCTAATTTACATATAATTCATTGCCTGTCATTATATTGTAAGTGTTTGATTTGATATAAAAACAATTCTCTTTTGTAAATATGAGTGAATTTTAAATATCAGGAGCATGCAAAGCAATACCAATAAAAATCATTACCTAATTTATATCTAATTTATGAATAAAATCTTAAATAAATATTCGGTGAATGTATTTAACATACAGGCCTACCCAAAAAAAATTGACTTACAAATGATAAATAAAATCTGTACTAGGCTTAAAAATAAAATTTTGTAAACCCATATTATTTTTAAAAAAATATCAGTTGTGAAATCATATGATTGATCATTTATAACATTAATATTTTTCCCTTCAAAGGTTTAAAAGTATAGCCCAGACAAAATTTAATAATGAAATGAAATCTTGTATCTAGGCAAGGCTTAAAATTTAGGCATCTGCAGATCTCTGATGATTAATTAGTTATTACCAGATCCCAGATCATTATTTTATATTGCAACATAAATCTTAATATTTCATTTTTGCTTAATTAATAAATTAAATAAAGTAAGAAACAGAGATGCATCAATACCAATATATTGTTAGTTGGCACTCACGGCATCAGTTGGTATTGGCCAATACTTTTAATTATAATATTAGCTGATAACCAAAATATAAATTCAATTTTAAAAGATTGACCTATTAAACAAATAATTTATACAAAAATAATTGGCCTGTTAAACCAAGAATTTATAAAAAAAATTGATCAATAATTTCCTAAATAAATAAGAAAGAAATTAATGGAGCTTAAAATTTTATTTTTTAATAATAGCCATCATAAAATTGATATTCATAAATAAAGTGTTGTAAATTCTTTTTAATTTTTAAATTTAGTTGTGGAATTAACTTTATTATGAAGAATAAACGATTATCAATTAACCTTTCAATACTACTGTGGGTTTAGCACCCCCGGCATTCTATTTATTTTTACTTATTTTGTTCTACTTTATTATATATAAAAAACATAGAGAAAAATAAATTAAGATTATTCATTAAAATGAAGACATTTTTATAGGTTAGATCTTAATTTTTTAGATTCTATTTTATTTAAAAAAAATTTGGTATTGGTATTATTGAATGATATTAGCCAATATCATATTGGTATATGATGTATGCATCTCTAGTTAGAAATAATAATTATTAAATTAGTCTGCCTTGATTAGTTATTTATTTAATATAAATATTCTGATTTTTAAAATAATGGAAATATCATTGTAATATCAAAATTAACAATGATACTAAATAATATTCAGAAATAATTCTATAATTAATATTATTTTAACAATCATATGAAAATAATAGTTTCTACTAAGATATAACCATACAAATTTTTATTAATTACTAAAAGTTTTATATTTTATTTATTCATTCAGTTAATTGGTTATAAGTAGTAATTTTTTTTAAAAAAGAATATTAAAATTAAAATAATTTTAAATAGAATTATAATATAATTATAAACTTCTTTGAAAATACCCTTAAATATCCAATGGCTATATAGCAGGCTAAGAAAACAAATTAAAGCCTGATTTATCCTTTTAGCAAGCATTAACTAATATAAAATTTTAAATATATTTATAGGTACAAATAAAATTTAAAATATCTAAATAATTTAATTTTGTTTAGCAGAAAATATAATCTGTAAAGTTGTTAGTATTCTTAAAGGAACATGATAATTAATAAACAATTTATATTTTAAAATTTAACATAAACATTGAGCCAAAAAATATTTTATTTTACTTGATTTGAATATCATATTTGTAAATAAATTTAATTTATGCATAAAATTTTAAAGCATTAAATATAAATTACCTATGTATATTCAAAAATTTATTTAAAGAATAATATTTGTAACAAATATCACTTGGTAATAAGGCGTATATGTAATAAATTTACTTTAATTTCATAGGCATTTAGGAATTTTACATTTTACGAAATAAATATCAATAGCGCCAACTTAGCTTTCAGAATTTCGAAGATCTTACACTATTGTAAAATGTCAAAATATAATACTCATTCATTCATAAGTAACTAAAAAAGGGGGTTGAAGCGTGCATCGCGTATTTTCACTAATAAATAGATATTATATATGATGCCCACCCGTTCTATTATAAATAACGTTACCTTTATGGAATCTGCCAGTACAGGGTAGAAAGAAAGAGTATTGATTATTTATAAGTTTTATGACTGGCAGAATAAAAATATTGTCGTAATTATCATATACAGTATATATATATTGTTATAAATGGTGACTTGTAAAGGGTGTTTTTGTTTTATAACATATAGCATTAAACATATAAATAACATTTTAATTCATTTTCGTAAATTTTATTATCTCTTTTACTTTTAAACATAATATCAGTGCTGTAGTCAATACTTTCCATCTGGGGGGAGGGCTGTTTACTCATAGGGGGGTGCAATATATTTTTGAAAAAAGACAAATTGTTAGGCACTCTTAATTTTTACTATTTTTGTTTAAAATTTGTAAATGACAATTTCTTAAAAATTTAACATATATGAATTAAATGTTAGTGTATTTTATTTCCATAAACCATTAATATTAAATTTTGTTTACGTCATTCTATAGTGCTCAATAAAACTCTCTTTAGTGTGGAGAATGAGGCCTCACAAAAAGCCGATACTACATTATGATGGTTGCTCGGTAACATTTATACAATTCTTTAAATTCAAGATGATATTTTTTTATACATAATATTTATGATATTTTTAAAATTATGTTTCTTTGTAAAGCTAGTAAAGATAATAATTCTTTTGCTATTTTCATTTTATAATTTAACGTTTGCTTATTTAAGTTTGAAAATGATTCTAATGGCGTTATTTGTAAATATATCTAAAATACGATCTACAAAGTAAACAATAATTTTATAATAATTCTTTTTAACTCGTATTGAAGTTCTTTTCACAATGAAAATGCAATTTTGTATCGTAAAAAATCTCAAAGGTTTGTATTCTTTTTACGTACACTTGCTGATTTTTGAGGGATGGAAAATTTTTGTATAAGTTTCTCAGCCTTAATTCAAATCAACAAGAATCTTCTTAATATATTAATTGTAGATTCAATACATTTTTTAGCATCATTATATTAGTACCCATTGAGTGTAGATCATAAGCGTAGCCAGAGGGGAGAAGGCAAGGGAAACCCCCCCCTTCAGAAAAGTATCACTTTTTGTGAATATCATTTTAAGCTAATAAAAAATATCACCCTTAATCCTTCCCCCACTTCCTGACCCCAAAAAATGTTTGCATATATCTTAAACAATAATTTGAAAGAAAGAATGTAAAAGTTGATATTTTTTTAAACTAAAACTATTCATCATAATTTATAGATTTTTGGAAAGAAACATTTATATATAAAAAAAAGTGAACCAAAAATGTTTTTAAAGAAATGGAATATAAGCGAAAGATAAGTCTTAATACTAAAGTGAAATGTATTATAATTATAATAATAGATCAATTACTAAATAATGTAATATATCAAATGTAATTTTTTATACAGTGAGTAATTTTAATTTATTTATCCTAATAAAAGTAAAATATAATTATAAAACTATTGATAAAATTAAATCGTAAATGAAATCAAAAATTAAAGCATAAAACAAACAGTGGAATATTATATGTCGTAGATTTACAGTATATCGAATTTTATCAATTATCATATGACAATCAATTAATTTTTACCAATATAGCGAATTATATATTTTACATAAAACTATAAAATATTAAAAAGAACATCAGAAAATATCTTTTAAAGACATTATGGAATAAATAATAAAAAGATTAATTTTTAATATCATTTTTTATTTAAAAAAATAGATGGCGTTAAATTATTGAGTGCAAATTGTTGCTATATTTCAAGAGCATTGATTAGTAAAATTTGTTAAAATATTAACTGAAATATATTCTCTAACTGTCAAACATGTCTGTAAAAGTGGAATTATATCTAGTTTTAACCAATTCTATATATTAGAAGAATATCAACTATATATCTACTTACTTTTTATAAATAAATTTCTTATACTTGTTTGGAATAAATTATTACCATGCTTTTATATTAATGTATATACAAGTAATTTATTATATTTTATAGAAATTAATAAAAATATATTTCATATTTGTTCCAGGCTTATTTTTTTTATCATTAACCTCCTATCTTGTAAAAATATTTTATGACTATATATAGATTAAAGTAACCCGGCCGAAGCCCGGACAAAATTGGGTCTGGGGGCGAAGCCCTTAAAAAATTTTTAAATCCCACCCCCCTTAGGAAAATTCTGACTACGCCTATGGTGTAGATACTTATTTAATGGATTTATAGTTATTAATACATCTTAAATTAAAATGGCCAATATAATTTAATTTATATTAATGCATTTAGATAAAAGACCAGAGGCTTCGACTGAATTGTGTTTGGATATATCTGAGTTAAGAGTTTTATTGGAAACGTAAAATTATACTTCACAAATAACCTTAAGATTTTTATAAATGGTATGAAATGTTTCTAAATGACCAATCCACCGCTAGTATAAAAGTATCTCAAGTGTATGGTCTGTATATTTACAGGATACGTTAAAATGAATAAAAATAATTATACAATGCATTCGATAAATTAAAAAAATCAGAAATGATAAGAATATTATTATACTAATTTTGAACTATAAGATGCAAATTGTGGTTATAGCAAGGTATATAAGGCACTTTTTATTAATTAACAGGGTTTGTGCTCCACCATTTCACTCAGACATAACGTTTACACATATGCCTGGCTTATTATATTTGATAAATTAATATTTAATTCATTAATTTGCTTTAAAATACAATTAGTACTGCTTTAGAAAAAAATCATTGTAAATTCATGATTCCTATTAAATTTTCTGATTTCTACACAAAAAAATATAACGAATAGATGCTCAGGTTTTACAACTTGTTTATTAATTTGTATAAATTAAATAAAATTTTATAAAAATTATGTTGTATTTTCATTTAGATTTAATCGTTAATGCTAAATTTATTATTAACTAAAATTATTTAAAGGGGGCCTGCTCCCCCCGTGGGTACGGTCCTCTATATTATTTTTATATATTTTTTTTAAATCATAAATAAAATAATACTTAAGTTACACGTTTCCTGAATAACCAAAAATAATAAAACTAATTTTAAATTACGCGTTATATAAATAACCAAATTAATTATAAAGAAGTGTAAAAAAAAAATTCGGCAGCCCTTGCGTGCAACAGGCCTTACTTCAAAAATATATAACAAAAATCGGGCAGCACTTCCATGCGACAGGGCTTACTGCAAAATGTTTTAGTTCAAAGGTCGTTACAGATAAGATGACTTTGGTAATCTCTTTTATATTCAGCCGTCTCACTTAAAAGAACTTTGGTATCTCGTTTTTTATATTCAGCCGCCATACTTAAGAGGACTTTGGTATTCCTTTTTTATATTCAACTGCCTCATTTAAATACTTTGGTATCCCTTTTTTTATATTCAGCCTTCATACTTAAGAGGACTTTAATAATTCTTTTAATCCTTCGTGGTTATAATAATATATAAAGATGATATACAATTTAAAGTCGAAGATAATTTGTTTATCAAGTTTATATATGCGACAGAATAATTTATAATTAATTTTTTTTACAAATGGATAAAAATAATTTTTAAACAAGAATAAACAAAATCTAATAATAATAATCTAATAATGATTTTACCTCTTTTTATGCATTTTATATCTTGCACTTATTAATAATCTTTTTCAAAAAAGAAAAAAAATATTTTTCATGATAATGATGACTCAATAAATTAACCTATAAAATGACAATGAATACGCATGATTCATAATTAATAAAAACAAATAAGAATGAATTTGCAAAATTTGGCCCCAAAAATCAATATATATGATAGAAACAAAACTAAAAAGGAGGGAATGTTTTATATAAATTTAAATCGAATTCATTTAAATTTATATGTAGTGGTTATTTATTATTTCCATAGCCGGCAAAATAGAAGTATTTGTCGTAAATATCATATATATGCAGAATAATGCTGTTTATTATAAATGGTTCGATTGCCGATTTGAAATTAAGATTTTGGCAAAATAATATATATTCTAGCCACAAATTTTGTTAACAGATGTCCATATTGTAATGTTTCGAGATATATTTTTTTATCATTTTTTTTGAGTTGTGTTTTCGATATCCTTTTTTATATATATCATTTTTATTTGATAAAACGAATTGTTTACATGTTAATTTTTTACATGTTCTTCTTATGTCAATTATCTTATAAACGGTTTTATAATACATTGTTTATATTTTTCGATTAATAATTGCGAGAATAAGAGGTTATTTTCGACCAAAAATATGTGTAGTCAAAAATGTATAATTTCGAAGCGTTAGGATTGAAAATATTAAGTATTTCGAGTTTATCCGATTTTTCGCAGTTATATGATAAATATAATTATTTTCTTATATAAGCCAATTTTGTATTATTGTTTATAATATATTATTTAAATATATTCTAAGCCTTAAAGCTATCAAATTTGGCATCTTTAATGTACACGTATTGCGTTTATTAAAAAATCAAAATAATTAAAAATATAATTTTCCAATATGTGTCTAATCTGGATATTACCATGTGTTTTTTTTTTAATTTTATATAAATTTGATTAAATCAATGAATTAAAATTTAAAGATGAAATGGAAACTACTATATTTAATAATTTATTCTATATTATTGATGTCTATGCTATATTATTGACGTGGTTATTCTAGATTCAAAAATAGATAAGATTACTAAATTTATATTTTCTTTTATAATACTCATTACTAAATCTCACTATTACAAAATCGGAAAGGGAAAGTTCCACTCATTTTTGTTAAATTATCCTTGAGAAAAAAATCGGCATAATTTTATGAAGGATGGGCATTCATAAAATTCACGTTCGCTCATTTTTGGCAGGTCTATGACCGTGCTGGATA